CGGAGAGGTAATGATTGAATCTGATTGCTCAGAAAAGTAATATACACTACCATTCAAAACTTTGGGGTTGTTAAAATTTGTTAAAAGTAGTCTCTTATGCTCATAAAGGCTGCATTTATTTGATCATAAATACAGAAAAACAGTAATATTGTGAAATATTATTACAATTTAAAATAACTGTTCTTTATTTAAATATATTTTAAAATGTAATTTATTTCTGTGATGCAAAGTTGCATTTTTTTTGCTTCATTACTCCAGTCTTCAGTGTCACATGATCCTTCAGAAATCGTTCTAATATTTGAGGCTTAAGAAACATCTATCAATGTTGAATAGTTTTACTACTTTTTCAAAATTTTTCCAGGGTTTTTTTTTTATGAATTGAAATTTTCAAAAGAACAGCATTTATTTTCATTTATTCTGAAATCTTTTGTAACATTATAAACGTCTTTACTGTCATTTGGCCAATTCGATGCGATCTTGCTGAATAAAACAATTCATTTCTTTTACAAAAAGAAATTCTTTATCACCTCAAATGGTACACAGCGCAACACCAAATAGAAAAAAACGACCAAAAAAAAAAAGTTTTGCTGCTCATGACCAGTTTGATCAAAAACCCAGATGTACATAAAAGAGATAGCTTCAGTCGATTGTTGCTTTATTGCATTATGTTTGATTGTATATGCCACAATTTAAGAACAGCATGAATGATAAAACGAATGGAGTTTGCAAGCACTATTGACTCTAAAGTAAAGAATCCGAGGTACAGCAGCATCCTACACCAGAACCCATGTGTCATATTCCTGTGTGACAGTACAACAACTCTCTAACCACAACACCGCTTGTAGTCATGTCTAAGAACATAATTAGCAGCGTTCCCAATCAAGCCCCCTCCACCCCCTCCCCGTTCCCACAGACACAAAGAGACAGCGAGCAGAGAGATGATTAAGCGAAAATGTGGGATAAACGGAGAGATAAACTGATTGATGTCATCACGGCTATAAATCTCAACAAGTAGGAAATTAAGTTTGGAACAGAAATATTATTAGAAATCAGACAGTGATGGACGAGCTAGAGGAGAGATGCACTGGGAGGAAGAGAGACCGAGCAAAAAAAAGCTGAAGATTTTGGTAGCCATCAACCGAAGTGCTCATAATAATGACTCCGACTGAAGATTTCGGTAGAACAGTGTTAACTGTAAATGGTTGACATTGAAAAATGTATAATTCAGAAGTTGCTCTTACAAAGTACAGGAGACCTAAATGAGATTGCATTTAAAGGAATATTCTAAGTTAAGTTCTGGCATAATACTGATTACCATAAAAAATTATTTGTCCTTTATGTAGGCTACTTTAAAAAAAGTCAAAATAAACGTAATAATGAGACATTCACGATCCGTTTGTTAAGTTGTGACGTATCAAATACTGTTTCCGGGTCCAAACCTCTAAGTGTGAAAACAATCTCAACAGCTCTTTTATTTATGGCACATCTTTACGCTAAGCTTTTCAGAACAAATGAATCACTGTCTGGCCAACTAAGATAAAGGTTAGGATCAAGGTTTTTTTAGTACTATAGCATACAATGAGTGTATATCAGCACTGTTTGTTAGTTAATTTGGGAATCTAACAGGTCATTTGGACCTGGAAAAGGTGACAAGTGACGTCACAAACAAATAAAAGTGACATTTTTGCAGAAATGTGGAAGTTATAATAAAAAAAGCATTTAGATAATTCTGTTAAATTGTGTGTTTTATTTGAGCTATACAGCTGTTTTTGTGATTGTTTTAGGGTTTTAGGTGTTACGTTGTAAAATTGGATATAACTTGTATATCATGTTAATAATCAATAAATCATGTTAATAAGCATATTGTTTACATCTGAAACAGCGGATATTTGAACATTTATTGATTCCCCCCCCCATACACTTCCATTACTGTAACCCCGATTTCTGCTTTTTTAAGAAGTGGAGGGACAACTTGAATCTATTTTTGTGTTAATCAGCATTATGCCACAAATGCTGTCGACTGAGCTTAACTGAATCGAAATATTCTGGATTCGAAATTCATCTGAATCCACATTCAATCCGAAATATTCTCGTAATTTCAAGTATCAACTTTGTCTCAAATGTTTTTCTTAAAAATCCCTATGATAAATTGAAATAGAATAAATGGAAATCTATGGCTTTTGATTGCAGACTTCGATATTTTGGCAAATCCAGGCACAGTTCAGGACATTTTTTAGACCTTTTCTAAAATACTAAAAGACAGTAAGACTCATGATATTATTGGGTCTGAGAAGCATGAGACTTCATGCTAGGAGAAACAAGTGAGATATTAAAGAGCTCTCATTCGTGATTTTTCGTTGTCACTGGCATCTCTTTACACACTGGGGGCTGTTTTCGTTCTGTTTCCCACCCCGCAGTGTGATCTATTAAACTTGAGCGCATCTTAAATATCCGCTCCCCTGTCTCTGCTCTGATAGGCCTCTGAGACCCTCGCTAGTCTAATTTTCTGCCAGGGATCCAGGCACCGTACCCTGGGGCTGAGAGCTTTTATTTGTCTGGGACTGGTTTCACTAGGCTGGGCTGCATGGTTATCTGATGGCTGTGTGTGTTGAAGTCAGCCAGGAAGACAGTGATGGAGAGAATTTGACCATTTTAGGGATGTTAGCAAATGTTTGTGGGTTTAATGAATAGGGGCTTGCCTTTGAGTTTGGTTTCGGTAAGTGTGTAGATGTTGCTGGAATGATTGAAAATTGAATAGTAAATGAAGTCAGATTTCTGATGACGAGAACATCAGGAACATAAGTGTTGTGAGGAATCATCATACAGTTGTGATCTTCAAACTGACGCTGTTCGCATGTTCGTTGTCTTATTGTGTAAATTATTTAAAGTGAAAAATGTTTGGTCTAAATAATACATATTTCATTACAATGTCATCTGAAATAAATCCCTGTTCACAACACCTTACATTTTGGTATTTAACTTCCACTTTATGTGATCCAAAGTTGGCATGAAATGAAAATTTACCTATTTTCTAAATGCATGTTTGCATGCATATGATTCCATCATTTTTTTAAAAAATTTTTAATCAAAATTTCATAACTCAGTCTTCCAGTGAAATTACAGACTTCTTTTTGGTTGACCTATGCCGGACTTCTCCAATCACTTAGCCTGCTTAAAGGAACACTCCACTATTTTTGAAAATAGGCTCATTTTCCAATTCCCCTAGAGTTAAACAGTTGAGTTTTACCGTTTTCAAATCCATTTAGTTTATCTTCGGGTCTGGCAGTTGCACTTTTAGCTGTAGCTTAGCATAGATCATTGAATCTGATTAGACCGTAAGCATCTCGCTCAAAAATGCCCAAAGAGTTTCTATATTTTTCCTATTTAAAACTTGACTCTTCTGTAGTTACATTGTGTACTAAGACCGACAGAAAATGAAAAGTTGCGATTTTATTTAAAAAACAATCAAGCAAGCCCTGTCCAGATTTTAAAGTAACGCAAAAGTAACGTAAAGCATTACTTTCCATAAAAAGTAACTAAGTAACGTAATTAGTTACTTTTTTATGGAGTAACGCAATATTGTAATGCATTACTTTTAAAAGTAACTTTCCCCAACACTGGTCATTTTTGAGCGAGATGCTAACGGTCTAATGAGATTCAATGGTCTATGCTAAGCTACAGCTAAAAGTGCTACCGCCAGATCCGGAGATCGGCTGAATGGATTCGAAAACGGTAAAACTCAACTGTTTAACTCTAGGGGCGTTGGAAAATGAGCCTATTTTCAAAAATAGTGGAGTGTTCCTTTAACTCTCATTCACACCTGCTACCATCCAATCAACAACCGACAAACAGAACCAAGTCCCGCCCTACTTTTTTTTTTCTTTTTCAATTCTCCATTTGACTCAGATGTACATTACAGTATGGAAGAAAAGAGCTGTTGCTACTTCCATTTCATCATGACATTAATTTGCGATGAAAAAAACTGCCCTACATGGAAAAAAGTCCTTGTCCTAAATCTTTTTGTCTCATTGAATACCCTGTTTCACTTGGAAACATGTCATAATAAGAAACTAAAATGGGATGTGAATGCCATTTAATGTTGACTTTAAGTGCACTCTTAAAAATAAAAGTCCTTGATAGGCATCTATGGTTTTATAAAGAACTTTTAACACCCAAAGAATTTTTCCATTCCACAAAAGGTTCTTTATAGTGGAAAAAGGCTCTTTAGATTATTATAATGTTCTTCCCACTAATAAAAAATGGTTCTTTTTAAAAATGTTCACTGAAAGGTTCTTTGAGGAACCAAAAAAGGTGCTTCTATGGCATCACTGTGAAAAACCTCTTTTGGAACCTTTATTTTTAAGAGTGTGGCTATTTCTACCTCACCTGATTTTTGCTGGTGTAATGATTCAGTTATTTTAAATAATATTTTCTTGAATTTAACGTAACTAGGAAATGTATGGTTTCACATCACTTGACAATATATTTTTACAGTAGAATGTCAGCTCAAGATAGTATTTTTTGTTGTTGCTCAAATTCCTTTTTTTTTTTTTTACACCATCAAAGATTCCTTGGCACCCCAAAAATGGAGCGCACACCTGCTGTAGATGGAGCACTGGTAAAGGCGCAGGAGTGGTGGGTGCTGACGGACAGACAGCGGAGAACACAGGGAGATATTGTTGTGGATTCACTCAAGGTCACCCACTCAAGAGTGTGCCAAGTCTCCTCCACAAATACACCACATACCATGCAGTCTCAATATTCACAAATAATATCTGCAAACGAGACATTAGCATCAAAGTGTAACCAAAGTTCCTTATATTCCACAATAGAGCATCAGCATGATCAGAAGATCAACACACCCATGAGGCATTTGCAGAGAGATTAGGGGAATGTTCTGGTGTACTTCACGTTAATCTACGCAGAAAATGGGATGTTTTGCCATACTAGGGCTTTGATGGAGTGTATACAGGCACACGCTGCATATTGAACTGTCTTACTTCTCGTAATCATGCTTGCAATAAAGCAAGCGATCCCGACAGTAGCAGGTCCCGCTCAGCGCGCTGCGACACACCGCACACTTGACACACGTCTCATGCCAGGACAGTTCATTGACGCGCAGGAGGAAGCGGTCCACGATGGGAGACTCGCACCCTGCACACACCTCACCTCCTCCCACGTGCTCTGGTGGAGAAGAACAGAACAGGTGTCAGCTGACAGGACACACACAAATGTGCCACGAGGGACTCGAGGCACACACATTACAGCACTGATATTAATATGGAAAGATTAAGAAATGATAAATGAAGAATAAGGGTCTCACCGTAAGGTGTGGCGGAGGGGGCCTGCTGAAGACATGATTGGTTTTCTTCTGTTTTCATTCCGTTTCTTCCTTCTTTGGAGTGCTGACTGAAAAACAACAAAGACGTACATATAAAGACAGCAATCAGTCTGTGTTAATATAGAATTATTGTAAGCTGCTTGTGATTGCTCAATGTTATTATCATATTTATTATTATATTTACACGTATTGTGGGTAAAAAGCACACTGTAATGTAATGTTACTGTGAAAATACTGAAAATATTTGCAGCATAATCTGCGAGGAAACAGAGCATCATTAGTTTCATTACTAAAAGCCAAAATCAGCTGCAGTGTGGGCCCGTTTTTAATGTGCACTCTAAAATATGTTAATAGTTTGAATAAAAATGGTTTCTGTGGTAACAACCGTAAGTTACCCTACCATATACAATTAAAAATATATTTTAAAAATAACATTACATGTAATATTACTGTAAAAAAAGATTTTACAAGTAGAAATGGTTTACACTGTAATTTGCAGATACAGTGTATATTATATTTAACCTTAAAAAGGTACATATACTTAGTAACACTTTACAATAAGGTTCCATTAGTTAATGTTAGTTATTGTATAAACTAACATGAACAATATATTTATTACAGTATTTATTAATCTTTTACTTCATGTTAATTCACAGTGCATTAACTAATGTTAACAAGCACAACTTTTGTTAAAACGTTATATTATAATTAAGTAAATGTTATAATTAACGTTAAGATGAATCGCCTAAATGCTGTAGAAGTATTGTTCATGTTTAGTTCATGTTAACTAACTAATGTTAACTAATGATCCTTATTGTAAAGTGTCACCACATACGTTTACGTTATAATGTTGACATGTATAATGCTTAAATTATGTTTTTATAATTGTCTTGTAACTTACGGTGGAAAGGGGGCGTGCCCAGAATTCCTTTCATGAAGCATCACATTTGTTTATGTTTATGTTTCATTTGAATATTTATAGTTATTTTGTTATCGGTTATGTATAGGAGTGTTTTGAATGCCATTGCATGTAGTTTACATCATGTTAACTGCAGTATTTTAGTCGTGTGTAACAGTTAAGGTGGTTAGAGTTCGTAGAGATTGCTGGAGAAGTTTTGTTGAACTTAAGTCACCGTTATTCTCAGGTTTTAGAAATATAGAAATATATATGTTGGTATAGGCCTACTGATATGATATGATTTAATGACAGGTAAAGTCAGGAACAGCAGGCTACAATATAAACGTAATCTCGTAATGCTTGGAAAAATGTCGTTTTTTTTTTATTTTTTATTACCGTAAATGTAACATGTATTTCCAGTGTAGCCTATTCTTCATACGCTTCCTCTCTTATCTGTTTTAATGAAGACATAACCTCTTTTATTTGATCTCACTATATAAAAGGGAAGTGTTTAATGAATGTGAATGTGTTTAATGAGAAGGACTGGAGGTGGTGTGTGTTTTAGGAGCTCTTGCAGGTGAATTATGCGCTAGTAAGGCGCGCGGCTTCGGTAGACTATATTTGGCAAAACGAAACAACGCAAAAATAAAATGATCAAATATTTCCCAGTCCAGCGCCGTCGCCGTCAGATTTAAATCAGGAAGCCTATTGCCTCTGAAATAATAAGGGATGACGGTCGTGATTAATGCTTTGATTATTGTCATTTAGAATGAAGCTTTCACCTATATTTGAGATTTACACTCATTGAAGTAATAGGCTATGACTGAAAAAATCTTAATTCTGTAGTTTATTGCCTACTGCTTTTAGAATATTTAGGTTGTATTTTTTATTTGTGTTGGTGATTCAATTATTAGTCCATAATTATTATTATTACTACTACGTTTATTTCTGCTTATGAAAAACCCCTTGCCTGGCAATTTAAAGGTGAATTTGAAGTATTTTTTTTTTCTCATCACACGCTGCGTGTCTGATCTCTTTCCCCATTAATAATGCAGTTAGTTGCATGAGTTTGATTATTAAAAATACGGGAGTTAATAACGGGTCATCAGTCTCACTGAGGAATATATTCGTATATAAAATATAAATAAAATATATTCACATATTTTTTACAAATTATTATTTTTACGGAGCTATATGCTGCATGTGATCGAAAATATATTTTAATACTGTCTGTTAAATTTACGTAGACTACATAGGCTATATAGCCCAATTGTCGTCGTATAAAGGGAACATGTTATAATGATTGCGGCTGATCTAGGCTTATGTTTGACAGAAAAAAAAATCAACTTATCATTCGTAGCTAGTATAAACACTCATTCCTTTCACGACACTAAACGGATGCAATTGATGAATTCATGATATGATATTTTGATGTGCGTTCATTTCATTGTTTAAATGAAAGTTTAGTGTTAATTTATATTCGAAGATGCTCCATGACAAGACATAGCAGTGCTCTGCGACGTGATATAAAGTGCAAACGTAAATATGAACGATATCAATAGAGTGTTTTGCTTATGTGTGAAATAGCGGTGCTTTCTAAGACATCATTTTTTACTCGAAACCAATCCATCTATACATTTAGGCTACAGAAACTCTATTGTGGCTGTAATACACTCAAGTACCGTACAGAGTTACCTAGTTTTAAAAAATCTGACATTTGAAATTATTTGTGCACAATTACACATGCTGAAAAGACGTCCTTGTGGGAAGTGTAGATTTGTGTAAAGGTTCTTTTTCAAATTCTGAACTCATAAAATACAGGCTAAGGTTTCACTCAAAGTATCAGACATGAAAGTTAAATGCAAATAAATTAATGCATTAACAAATTCATTAACACCAGGGCAGCAAAACTGGGCATTTCTGTAGCCTAAAATGTAGTAGATTAGGCACCAGCAGACAATACAGACTATAGCCTATATATGTAAAAGTGTTATCAAAGTCATGAGAATGTATCATGCAGGTCTCTACGTGAACGCACTAAGAAAAGTTCAAGTAGCCTATCATTTGTGTGATGATTGTAGGTGATGCTTATGCGTCCCGTCAACTTACCCAGCGCTGAAACACACTCCTCCTGAGATTTCTGTAGGTAACATCAAAATACCTTTGAAGAAGAGGACGGGCACCAGTGCTCCAGAAGGCAAACTTTAGTGTTATAGTCCAAAATGCACGCAGTGGCGCAAAAGCATCGCCAGACTGTGTGAGGTGTTCAGGCTTTATGTGATGGAGTGAAGACTCGGGCTGCGCGCGCACAATTAATGACTGCTGGAGGAACAACAAGGAGGGGTGCAAGAAGATGAAAGAAAAAGAAAGAAAAAACGTGCATTTACAAAGTAGGTTTGGTCTATTGAATCTGGCACCGAGTATCTCGCTCTTTCTGCTTCAGAGAAACAGTTTATTTTCTGACTGATATGATATGCTGTTATAAACAAATAGCGTTAGATTGGCAAGTTCCATATATCATAGGCTATGCATAATAATCTCAGACTTCAGGTAAAGATCATCAGACTTGAGATGAAAGTCATATTTCTGAACGTATATTCTAATATTGGTCTATAAGTTACAAACAAATGCAGTTCAAGATGTCAAGGTAACGCCACCATTCAGCATAATGTGCGTACATTATCAAACGTGTCATTTGTACGTGTAATCTACATATAGCTTAAATAATATAAACGTATAATTAAACATTTAGAATACATGTTTATAACACAAAAATCTTGGGCCGTAACAGAAGTAGCCTATATGAATTTGTAGTCTAATATATAGCCGTGTCAAGAGCTACAGTGGAATAATTCTTACTTTATACAGTTCTGCTGACAAAACTATGTCTAACATGGACGTTCAGGTCATTTTTGAAGTAATTCATATGCTCAATTAAGAGCCAAAATGTGCTTTTAGTTGGAAATGTTGTCAAATGGAATGCGCATCGCGTCTGCCATCTAGTGGCCAAATCGTGGCTCCACTCTCTTTCCTGCAGAGTTCAGCTCCAACCCTGATCAAACACACCCGAACAAGCGCTGTAGGATTGCTAGAAAGTTACAGGCAGGTGAGTTTGATTAAAGTTGGAACTAAACTCTGCAGGACAGTGGACCTCGAGGGCCAGAGTTGAGAAGCCCTGGGCTAAAGTTAGGCCTATATGAAATACAAAGAATAAGCAGCTAGATTAGCGCATAACATTATAAATAAAAATTCTAAGCACTGATAATAATGAAACGTCTCATTGTGTGACTCCTCAGTGTCCAGTTTCTCCTGGTATTTAAATATATTGGGCAGCTCGCTGCAGAGACGACGTTTACGGCGATCTCACGTGGTAAATGTTACTTTGCTCAACGCTTTTCAGTATGGACCAATCACTGCTGCTTGCGATAACCGGATTGTTGTTATTATTATTAACCCTTTAACTGCCCCCCCCCCCCTTTTTTAAAAAACGGAAACCTTAATTTGTTTTAT